AGAGAGAGAGAGAAAGAAAGAAAGAAAGAAAGAAAGAAAGAAAGAAAGAAAGAAAGAAAGAAAGAAAGAGTTCGCTGGTTTGTTTCAAATCATGCCACACAAAGAAAGCCTGAGGCAAAGTTATGAAATAGGACAAACTGCCTCGGGATCCCTGTGCCCATACACCACTGTGCTGTGTAACCACTAAGGACACTGATCAGAGACTTCCCTGGCCTCCCTCATCACGCAACCCTCAACATGCAGCCACAGCTGTTATGAGCTGGCTGCTTCCAAGAGCCAGTGGGCTGATGACCCATGAGTAGAAACAGACTTCAGTGGATGATTGGTGTGGCACAGTGATCAGTAGAGTTTAACTGAGTGATTGGTGGAATTTCAGACTCTGGAAGTCTACCAGGAAAGAGTTTGAGGAGCGAATGGGATAAATTATGACTTCCCCCATGGAGGAAGTCATAATTTTTTTTGGGGGGGGGGGGTTCAAAGTACTTTCTGTGGTCACCAGATCACTTTCTTTAATAATAATAATTTTATTACTCCTTTGAAAATTGATTTTATCACCCCCCCACTACCTCCCTCCAATCCTTTGCCCCCCCAAATCCACCAAACTGTCTCCCTCCCAACTTAATGTCTTGCTTTTTTTTTTTCAATGCTATTATTATGAATAGTCCCTGAGTCCAGTTAGTACTAACCATGTGCAAACGGGTGGCTCACTTTTTAATGTAGAACTTAAAGTTTGAACCAAAAGTATTATGAACCAATGTGCTTCATTGTTCAAGGCAACCAAATATCTCTACTAAAGACAACCAAATATCTCTACTATTGGGAAAAGTCCTTGATTCTTGGCTGCATAGAGAGTTGGTGGCCAGTCTGGACTACAAAAGACCGTGTCTCAAAAAAACAAATAAGTCCCTGCTTTGACTAACCTGTGGGTGGAGAAGACATTACTATTTGCCTTTGCTTAGATGTTAGTGTTTGCTTTTGTTATTTGATCCTCTCACATTTCCATAAAACTGAAAAACCAGGAAAAAATTAGTTTGTTGAAGCAAGGTAGTCTATGTATAAATATTTACTGACAAGATGGGAACACTATGCTAAAATTTTGTAAATGCTTAAAATTATCATGGTAAATCCTCAGCTGTTAGGTAAACAAAGAAGATCCATCTTGCTGAACAGTGAATGAACGTCTTCAAAAACTAGATTTTCAAGAATGCTACCCTATTTCGGGGATTTACTTTTTACTTATTTTTTTAATTTATTTTTTATTTTATTTTTATGTGTATGAGTATATTGCCTGCATGTGCATAAGTGCTGGAGGATAGAAAAAGGTATCAGATTCCCTGGAACTGGAGTTATGAATGGTTGTTAGCCGCCATGTGGGTGCTAGGAATCGAACCCAGGTCCTCTGCAAGAGCAGTCAGTGCTCTGAACTGCTGAGCCGTCTCTCCAGCCCCTTAGGAATTTACTTTTACTTCTTTAAAATAAACCAGTAACAAAGAATCATAAGATGTACCAAGCATGGTGGCACATACTTTTTTCTTGGGGGGGGTGCTATTTTTGAGAGAGGGTCTCCCAGTAGTCCCAGCTGGCCTGGAAGGTGGCACATATTTGTAACCCTAGCACTTGGGAGGTGGAGGCAAGAATTTGAAGTTGAAACAAGACTGAACTGACTAAAGTCTGTGCTGGTTAGTTTTTATCAACTTGATGCAAACTAGAGCCATCTGGGAGAAGAGAACCTCGGTTGAGGAATTTCCTTCATCAGATTGTCCCGTGGCCATGTCTATGAGACATTTTCTTTATTGTTAATTAATGTAGGAGGATTCAGCTCAGTCTGGGTGGTGCCAACCTTAGGAAGGTGAGCCTGGGCTGTAGGAGGGGTAACTGAGAAAGCCAGAGGAAGCAAACCAGTAAGTAGCATTTATTCCTCCATGATCTTTGCTTCAAGCTCCTGCCTTGAGCTCCTGCCCTGGCTCCCCTTGATGAAGGACTGTACCATAAGTTAAAATAAACCCTTTCCTTCCCAAGTTGGTTTCGGTTAGTGTTTTATCACAGCAACAGAAAGCAAACTAAAAGTTCATTTCAAAATAAAAAATGGACTGAGAGGTGGATTAGTGGTTAAGATCACTTGCTGTACTACCTTGAAGACTGGAGTTTGGATCCCAACACCCATGTAACAAGCCAGGTGCCCCGCCAACACCTGTAACTCCAGCTCCAAGGGACCCAACACCTTCTTCTGGCCCACACATGACACGTACACCACCCACCCACACATATACATGTGTATGTGCACACTCGTGTAGATACACATACAAGCAGGCACACACAAATAAAACAAAATAAATCTTTTTAACATCATAAAATAAGAACTGGCAAGATGGCTCAGCAATTAATAGCACTGGCTGCTCTTGCAGAGGACCTGGGTTCAATTCCCAACACCCACATGGCAGCCAACAACCATCTATAACTCCAGTTCCAGGGGCTCCAACACTCTCTTCTGGCCTCCAAAGGCATTGTACACATGGATGTACTTACATACATGCAGACAAAACATTCATACACATAAAAAATAAAAATAAATAAAAAAAATTTTAATCCTGTGCTCGCTTTGCAGCACATATACTAACATTGGAACAATACAGAGCGGATGCACATGGCCCCTGTGCAAGGGTGACACGCAAATTTTTGAAGCAAAAAAAAGAAAGAAAAAAAATTTAATCATAAAATGTTAAAGCCAGATGATACCTTAAAATTCATCTAATAAGCCAGGCATGGTGGCTCATGCTTTTAATCCCAGCACTTGGGAGGCAGAGGCAGGCAGATCTCTGTGAATTAAAGTCCAGCCTGGTCTACATAGTGAGTTTCAGGCCAGCTGGGGCTACAGGGAGACCCTTCCTCAACAATGACAAAAAAAAAAAAAATTCGTCTAATAATATACTCTTGGGTTGGAAAGATGACTCAGTGGTTAAGAGCACTGACTGCTCTTCCATGGGACCTGGGTTTGATTCCCAGCACCCACATGACATCTAACAAGCCATCCATAACTCCAGTTCCAGGGGCTCTGATGCCCTCTTCTGACCTCCATAGGCATTGTACAACACAGGTGTATTTACACACATGCAGACAATATACTCATACACATAAAATAACAAAATGTTTGAAAAAAGAGAGGACAAGGTAGAGAGAACTTCAGGAGCTGGCTTACTGCTTGCCATGGTACATCAGAGCTGCTGAGATGACCGCTTTCAAAGTGTGCCTAATGCCTGATGCAGGAACAGACTGGGACCAGTGAACTTCTGTGGGACCAATGGTTCCATCTTGGTGTTCACTGACAGGGGCTGCCACCTTTGCTTTGCGTAATTGCCAGATTTGTCTGTTTGTGACTTCAAATGCTTTTGGAGGTTCAGCACCCTCCAGGCTCTTGACAGAGATGGACATTTAATCCTCTTGTTTGTATGTGAAGGAAGGAAATACCCACTGTCCTGGTAGCTGTGACATGTACTTGGTGTCCATGCCGGAGTCTGTGGAACAAGCCAGATGTTCAGTAAGTCATCCAGTTTGAGCTCCCTCTTGAAGCCTCACACGGAGCATCTAAGTGAACATCTATAATGAACATCTAAGCTGTCAGCTGAAACTTCTGGAGATAGCCTGGAAATGTGAGCCTTACTCTTAAATGATTGCTTTGGTCATGTGACTGGTTTTTGGAGAAATCTGATGGTAGGAACCAGTGGCTAGTCACATATCAGCCTCTTTCTATGATTTTTGCCCCACTTTACTACTGCCAACTCTGTGTTTCCTTTGGAGACTATAAGGTTACAGTGAGACTAGCCCAGGAAAGTTCAGGGAAGCCCTGGTGCCTGCCAGGTACATGGTGGCTTCTCTGTAAATGAAGGTGATCGATGGGTCTGCTAAGAACTTCCAAGGAGCCTGGCAGGATGTTTCTAGCTAGGTCATGGGTCAGATACCTGGGCCTGTCTAATGTTACGTGTAACAATGGCCCTGTGGACCAGGGGAAAGATGGTGGGATGCCTGTTGGTGCATTTCGTCAACTCAGCCTCTCCAGGAATTCTTCCTTTTAAGAGGAAGAGGATGACTCTTTTCTGGCTGTTGGTGGCTTGACTGTGGTGACATTAGAGGTGGTTCAGTAGCCGTGACTCACCTTGAGGAGTCCCTGCGTACAGGCCCTGCATTGACTTTATTGTTTAATTCTCAGTCGTCCGCCACCCCAACAATACCAGGCACAGCTGTCGTTTCTATCCCCCATGCTACAGGTGGGCAATAAGAAGCCCAGGGAAGTTATGAACTCGCTTCATATCAGGGGCCTGGAAACGGGAAAAGTTGAATTCCATGATGCATGGTGGGAGATTACATGGTCTACACAGCTGGGGCTACAGGGAGACCCTGTCCCAAAAAAACGAAAAAAAAAAAAAAGAATAATAATGAGACTGTACAAAAAGTAAAATGCATGCAATGATTGCATTTAAAATTAA